GTCGACCCGACTCAGGCATGCCCTCAACCACGGGGTGCTCCTGTGGAGAGGGGAGCCCTTGGCACGGGCGGGTGCCCCCGGGTCAGACATCTGAGGACCACCAGACACAGCTGGCGCATAAAGGTGATGCCAAAAAGATCCCCTAACGCCCTTCTCTAATCCACCAACTCTCTGCAGCCCAGAAGGCTCAATCCCTCAGAATCCCACCCCAGGTCTCCCCAGCCAGGCTGTCCCCAGCCCATTAGTTGTGTCTCTTGGCCTACACCCATCCAGGTACCCTCTCCTGCAGGCTCCCATTATCCCAGCAGAGCCATGTTCGCATCCCTTCTATACACCCATGTCCCAGACCCACCCTAACTCTATCCTTCTGCATTTTTCACTGCCAGGGTAGTGATTTTACTAATTGGCATCAGTGTTCCTGGTCAGCCTCACCTGGGATTCCCCCCATTCGGGTCACCTGGGGCTGAGGTGCTATTTAAGCTCAGACTGAGGCTGCTGCACCTTTCCTGAGCCCTGGGTACAACCCTGACCCCTGGATCTGAGGATGACGATGGCAGCAGCAGCTGTGGTTGGTTGGAGATGACCACCCTACCTTGGAGCAGCACTGTTCCTGTTACTCCCTCACGTCCGGGCCCCGTGGCTTATGTGGGGGTCCTGGGTTGCAGCTAAGCCAGAGCCCTGTGTGGAAATGGCACTTGCCAGCTCCAGATCAGCCCTATGAGAATGTCATGAGGTGTGAGGGGGGTTTTACAGACAGTTCTGTGGTTCATCTCTCTGTGCCAGCATCCCCATGGCCTGAGATTCTGTTGAAAGGTGCTGCAGAAGGGCATCAGCTGGAATGGTCCATGACAGTGGGCAGGTACTTCTATTTTGGGAAGGCTCAGCCATGTTTTTACCTTTATGTCTGGCTCTGCAGAAAGTTGGTCCCTGCTCTCCCCCACCAGAGCCAGGTCGGGGCAGCGGTGCCCGCTCTCCTGGCAAAGAAATGCTTTTATTTCTGCCTTTGCTGGGGAACCAGGTTGAACTTTTTCATGTGAAGGCTTCTGTTCTCTGTGAAAAGTGCCTGGGAAAATAGGCAGGAGGCCCACGCTGAGATGTGGCCTGCTTTTCCCATCGCTGAGCCCACGTGCCACTGCCCGTGGGCAGGGACCAGCAGGCCGTGGCACGCGCGGGGCTGGGGGTGAGTGAGAAGAGGAGCAGATGGGCTGTGTGGGATGCGAGTGGCACCAGTGCAGCACTCCAGGAGGGTTTCCAGCCTGGCAGGCTGCTGGGGAGAGGCTGGAAAGGGGTCACCCTGGGAATGGCCCCACTTATCCCACACCTGTATCTGTTACAGTGCCGTGCACCCAGGGGAACTGCTTGGCTTGGCTATGGGGTAGGGGATACTCTGCGGGGCTGTCTGGGATTCTGGGGTGTGGGAAGGACCCTCTGCCCATCCCAGGCAGGAGGAGGGCTGGATTTGTGCCAGCACAGCTGGGCTGTGGGTGGGGCAGGGCAGTGCTGTGTCACGCATCCCTGGGCAGAGGGGGAAGGTACCAGGGACCTGAATGTGGGTGGGTGGACACTGGGATGCATGAGGGACTCCCCTCATCTCCTGCCATTGCAGATAGCATCCCCTCTAGTGAACCAGACAGAGCACCCTCCTTCCCTTGGCTCTCATCCCACCTTCGTTATCCGCCTTTTAGCAGCCACGTAATCTCCTTTCTCGCTTCCTTTGCAGCCTTTTGTCCGACACAAAGCCAACTCCAGAAGGAAGAAGGGGCTGTGGGAGTGGGAAGCAGGTGTTTTTTCCTGCCCTGGTTCCTTAAACCTGGGCAGTAGCCCTCGAACTGGGACACCTTGGGAGTGATGCAAGGGCTGGGGGCCAGCCATGCCACCCAGGGTGGATATGGGGCTGGGCAAGGAGCATGGGGCCAGATCTTGGCTTCAGTGGGATGGACAGTGGAGGTTGTGCTGCATTGCCTGCACTTGGGCGATGCTCTGGAGCTCACCGGTGCCTGCCGTGCCCCAGCCCCACACCTGGGTGCTGCCCCTGAGCCCTGTGCCCTTAGTGGGAATTGGGGTGCCTACTCCAGGTGCTGTGATGGAGGTGAGGGGTTCTCCTGCAGCCGCTGGTGCTTCAAGTGGTTCTACAGTGGAAAATCACCCTGTGTGTGTGCAAGTGGCTTGTGGTGGGACACGTCATGCCCAGGCTCTGCAGGGACCCCTGGGCAGCTGGAGTTGGACTGGATGGGAGTGCCTGGTGGTCCCCAAGGCCTGACAGAGGTGGAGTCAGTGGCCTGGCAGGCAGTTACTGGATGTCAGGGAGCTTGGAGGAGGTAGGAGGCATCGGCCACAGGATGCGAGGCTTCCTTAGCTGCAGGTCTGGGAGGCAGGCAGTGCTGTCACCCAGGGTGGGTGCCACAGGGCTGGGGGCTGCCGAGCCATGCCAGGAGGCCGGTGCGGGTACCTCCATCTGTGCTGCTTTGAGCCCTGCCAAGAAATGTGAAATGGCACTTCTGCTCCACAGTGGTGGCAGCTGCAGCCTAGGGGCCCTATCCAAGTGCCTGCTGCTGGCACTGCTGCTCTCTCTGAGCCCCCATCCTGGTGTGAGGGACTAGGTCACTTGTAAGGCTGGGGATGTGTCCATCCCTGGCTGTTGCCACTGGGTCTCAGCAGCCAAGGCCAGGTGAGAATGCCGCTTTGTGTGCTGCCTTTGCCACGGTTCGGGTCTTTTGGGGGAGCAGAGACACACACCAGGGCTGGGTACAGGCAATGGGGATAGATGACCACGTGGGACAGCGGTTGTGGTGACCCTTTGTCGCCGTAGTGAGGAGATGTTGGGGGACAGACATCCTGCTTGGCAGCTGCCCCATGGCTGAGCCCGGGGCAAGTGTGCAAAGGTGGCATGTTCCTCATCTTCTGCTGCCCCTGCAGCTGCTGATGTGGGAAGACAAGGCTAAAAAGCCTTTCCTGGAGGGACAGTGCCCTTCCCAGGGAGGAAGAAGAGGTGGTTACTAGTGAGATGAGTTTGTCTGTCTTGGTGCACAGCCTGGAGGTGGGAAGAGGGTACCCTGAGAGGGCTCCGATTGTGTCAGGGCAGGAGGATGGCACTGCTCCCATCCTTCACATGAGCTGCCTGGGGCACAGCTGTGATCTCAACATCTGAGCAGATGGAACACTCTCAGCATGCTGCATGGGGCAGAGATTTCATGGAGTCCCCTGCCCAGACCTGGGGGTGATGGGGAGAACAGGAGGGTGGGGGCGGCTAACCCCGCTGGGCAAACAGCCCTGCTGGGGTGTGAGCTTCCATCCTCGCCTGTCACCACATCTCTGGTCACCATGACAACAGACAGGGAGGCAGGTGGAGCAGGCTGGCAGCCCTGGGGGTGGGGCGACGGGTGGAGGCCACGGGCACGGGCTGGTACCCAGGGGGATCCTGCGACAGGGCAGCTGTCGGGATGCCTGGGTCTCTCATGTGGGCTGTGTGCTGGGGAGGGAGGCTGGGCAGCGCTTAGCCCAGGCACTGTGCGCTTCCTGCTGTCCTGCTCCAACCTGCCCCTGGGGGGCACACAGCGGGTTCTTCTGGGGGTGTGGGCACTGCAGCGCGGCTGGGCAGCCCCTGTGCCGGGGCTTTGGCACGGCGAGGCTCTGGCTGGCTGTGAGCTGAGCGAGTGAGTCATGCTGTCGCCCAGAGCCGTGCCAGGCAGGGCTGACAGCAGGGTGTGCAGCTGGGCCGCTGCCGGGCTGGTGGCCTACCGAGGGTGGTGGAGACCCCGGGGGAAAAGGGTAGGGTTGTGCCCCAGCACGGGGGGAGGCAACCTCCCTGTGTACTGCCAGCACAGGGGATGTGTTCCCTGTCCCGGCTACCTCTGGGGGCAGAGGGAAGCAGGGGGGCACGGGACTCTCTCTACCTGTCCCATCCCCAGCTGGCTGCTGGGCACCAGGGAACGAGGTGAGCAGTCTCTGGGAGCAGGGGCACTCCCGGGCACTCCCCGCCCCACGCACCCACTCGTGCCAGCAGCTCTTGGCATGCGGGGAGTGTGTTCCTGGCAACCCAGCCCTCTCCCATCTGGTATTTATCTCCTTCCCGAAATCCCTCCTGCTGTGGGGGGGATGCCTGGTGCAGCGGGGGAGGGGGGGAGCTGGGCCCCACTGCTCACTCTGCAGCCCAGGGAAGAGGCCAGGCTGATAAAGCAGGGGGTGAGAGGTGGAGGAAGAGAATTCCCACACACCAGCCCACTCCAAAAACGCACGTGGGTCCCAGGAGGCTTCACTGGGTACTCTGGGGCTTCACATCTGGCTGTGAGCCCTGGGGGCAAACCCACACGGGCACCTTTGCCTCAAGCAAGCCCCCAGCCTGACAGCAATGTGGGGCACTGCCCTGGGGAGGGGGTACATCATTACTCTCCAATCCCAACACTGTTGCCTGGCTGACAGTGGCCGTCCAGCATTGCCCCCCACCCCCAAAGCCGCAGGAGCTAGGAGAGCCCATGGGTTGCCTGGGCAACTGCAGCCAGGCAGTGATGGGGAGCGGTCCAGGGGATCGGTTGCCATGGAGACCCGAGGATTGCAATCACCTTGGCAACAGTCTTGTGTGTCCTGCCACCCCCCATTCAGGGCTGCATCCTGAGGAGGTGCACCTGGGCTCCTCTGTGCACCTGGGCCAGCTCCCTGGGTAGGCAGGGAGGTGGTAGTGCCCGCCCATACAAGGTGAGAGCTTTGGCTTCCAGTGCATCCCCCCAGCGCCCACCCAGGCCCCTGACTCAGAGGCACAAAGTAAGAGGAGAGGCCAAGCTTGAGACTCCTTGGCTTTATCACTTCACATACCACTGCAAGCCATTCCTGCACCTGGTCCTGTCTGGGAGGTGGGCAGGAAAGCTGGGTACAGCAGGACTGGACATGAAGGCAGGCTCTGGGGCACTCCAATGCTGTTCTCCTACTCCAGAAGGAGAGTGGAAACCCTGCAGAGGGACATAGCCCCCCTCCCTGGGTGGTAGAGCAGCTGGCAAAGAGGCTCATTGTTGCCAGCCCCTAGGTGTCCCCAGCGTAGTCTGGGCAGTGGCTGTAGGCACATGGATTGGGGTGGTAGGACAATAGTGGCACCAAGGTGTGCCACTGCAGTGGCTCAGGGGGGTTTGGGTCTCTGCTATCCCACTGTGCCTGCTGTGTCTCACCAGCCCTGGTCTTGCCCTCATCATCCTCCCAATAAAACCACATGCCGGTAAAAAAAACATAAGGGAGAAGTCCTGCATGGCTTTGAGTGGGTCACAGCTGGGAAAGGGGCACAGGTCCAACAGGTGGCAGCCAAAGGAATGCCCCAGCATGGGGCTGGGGTCTCAGCTCCTCAGGACAGGTGTTGTGTAGGTTTTCCTCAAGCCTTCATGTTTAGGGGGGGTCCTCTAGCAGACAAAGGGAGGATGAGGAAGCTGTAACTCCCCCTGCCCTGCCCTCCCTAAGGCAGATTATGGGGCACACCAGGACCCCTCCCTCCCAACAGGAATCACACAACTGCACACGAGGGGACCGCTGAGATTTCTGCAGGCTGCAGGCTTGGCTTGGTTCCCACTGCCCTTCCCTGGGCACGCCCAGGTGCTCTCAGGCCTGATAGAGGGGCACCACACGTTCAATGGGCCCCCTGCAGATGGGGCAGAGGCGGGTGGGCAAGGCCTGGAAGCAGCGGAAGCAGCAGCAGATGTGGCCGCAGCCCAGGAGGACGCACTCGCGGGGCCGTGCCAGGCAGATCACGCAGGAGTCCTCAGGCTCCCTGTCCCCGGCCTCCTCCCCATCCAGCTCCTTGTCCTCCTGCCGCTGCTTGGGGCGGGAGCGGCGGTAGGCGCGGCACAGGGCGTGCAGGAGCACGGCCAGCCCTGCCACCGCACACAGCACCGCTGCCCCCTTCCAGAGCCCACTGGCCGACTCCAGCTCCGACAGCACCGTCTGCCAGTCCCCAAGGCACAGGAAAAACTCGCCCCCCCAGGCTGGCGGCTGCAGGTGCAGGGAGCCGTCGGGGTGCAGGGACAGCTCCCCAATGCCTGTCAGCCCGGCCCCCACCCGCAGCATCTCCTCTGTCTCCAGGATGCCCTTGGGTTTCTCCCCGATCAGGTACTGGCCCAGCAGGTCGCGGAAGCCATGGGTTGGCTGCTGGAAGCGCTCGTACACCATCTCCAGCGGCAGGCAGACGGCCTGGAGCGGGCTGTCCACGCTCACCTGCGTCACCGCCTCGGTGCCTGGCGAGGCCAGCAGGAAGGGCACGGTGTAGATCTGCTCCGAGAGCACCCGCTCGCTCTCGCTCCTGCAAGCAGACAGGGTTGAGATGTGGACAACAGAACCACAGAACCAATTAGGTTGGAAAAGGCCTCTGAGATCATTGAGTTCAATCTGTGAATGAACACCACCTTGTCAACTAGACCATGGCACTAAGTACCACATCCAGTTTTTCTTTAAACACCTCCAGGGATGGTGACTCCATGATCTTCTTGGTGGTGGAGCCCCCTGCTCCTGCTTTCTGGGCAGCCTATTCCAATGTGTAATCACCCTTTCTGTGAACAAATTCTTCCTAATGTCTAACCTAAGCCTCCCCTGGTGCAGCTTGTGGCCATTTTCTCTCATCCTGTTACTAGTTGCCTGGGAGAAGAGGCTGACTCCCATATGGCTACAACCTCCTTTCAGGGAGTTGTAGAGAGTAATAATGTCACACCAGAGCCTCCTTTTCTCCAGGCTAAACACCCCTGCCTCCCTCAGCCGCTCCTAATCAGAGCTGTGCCCCAGACTCTTCAGCAGCTCTGTTGCCCTTCTCTGGACTCACTCCAGTACCTCAATGCCCTTCCTGAATTTAGGGACCTAGAACTGGACAGAAGACTCGAGGTGTGGCCTCATCAGTGTTGACTACAGGTGGATTATCAGTTCCCTGGTCCCTGCTGGCCACAACATGAAGGAACTCCTAGGGCGGAGCCAAGCATAGGGACTAAAGCCTTTAACCAAGTTATTTTCTGCTTCTCAAGTGGCCCCAGAGTCTGGACTGTCTGGTGCAAGCCCACCCCTGCAGTCCCTTCCCATTGCTCACCAGCTCCGGGCCAAGCTGTTCCAGATCAGCCGATGCTCTTTCAGTAGCAGTTTCTGGATCACGCCCTGCAGCCCCTCATGGTAGTGGCTGGTCAGTGCAGCCTGGGCTGGTAGCACTATGCCTAAGGACAAGGGATGCATCACAGACGAAAGAGAGCCCTGCCCTTGTCCCTGGTGCGGGGCCACAGGGGGTTCTTACCTTCCAGGGCAACATAGGGCAGGCATCTCCCCTCAGCTGCAGACACCAGGGCTGGTAAATCATCATCGACCTGGAGCTTTGGGGCCTCCTGGAAGAGCAGGGACTGAGTGTGAGCACAGGCAGGGGCAGGCAGAGGGCGGGCCAAGCATGGCTTTGTGGAGATCTCTGGTAGGATGTGACCTGCTCAGTCCTTAGTGTCATAATGTTGGCAGAGAATGCAGCAGGCTGCAGCCATCAGTGAGTGCACCCAAATCAAAGGGTGTAGGGCAGTGGGGAAGGGAGAGTGGGCAAGAGAGAACATCTGAGGGATGGGGCTACCTTTATGCGTGCCACAACTTTGGCTTTCTTCCTGTACATGTAGTAGAAAAGGCCAGAGAAGGCAAGGCTGGAGCCCAGACACAGCAGCTCCCCTGGTGTGATGGGGATGTCCATGGCTTGGGCAGCAACGCCTGCAAAGTGAGTGTGTTGGCTGGGGAACAGGGCCATGTCACCCAGGAGCAGGGATGTCCCACAGGCCCTTTCCCCAGGGCAGGAACCTCCCTGCACCCTTGTCTCCAGGAGCAGGGACATCCCACCGCCTCTTTCAGGACATCCCAATGCCCCTTTTCCCAGGGCAGGGACATGCCTGCCCCTCTGTCCCCAGGGCAGGGACATCCCACTGCCCCTGTCCCCAGGATGCCACCTCAGGGCCAGGCCCGTCCG